CTGGACACACAAAGGAAAACTTATCCAATCTAGTTCTAGCAACACTCATCTCAGTCTCTTAAACGTCAACAAGACTGATCAAGGCATATATCTTTGTACTGCTACCAATGCTCTTGGTTCTAACACMAAGACCCTTCATCTRCAAGTTAAAGGTAAGGTTATTCCTCTTCCAGTCTCAAGTGTGACTCTTTAATCAGTCTGACTAAAGTTCAACATTCCTGTTACAGATAGTTCTGAGGTGTGCACCAACCATCGATATCTTGACGATGATTCTCGTTTATCAACCAAATTAACATTAAACCTCATTCAAGATGATACCAACTTGACTGAGAATGATTGGTACGTGTTCCGCGGTACAAGAGGCTATTATCGTATTCCAAACAAGTGTCTACCACAAAACCGTTGCGGTGCTACAGCTACAGGATACGTGGAGGGTAACTTTCCAACTCTTGCTGACGGTATTGTCAAAAGAAAGCTCTGTTTTCATGCCAACGGTAACTGCTGCCACTATAGTACGTACATTTATGTGCGCAACTGTTACTCCTTCTATGTCTACAACCTTAAGAAACTCGCCTTGTCCTGGTCAGCGAGATATTGCGTCCAACACTATCGCAACGGTAAGCCAGCTAATCCTAGACGAATTTCTTGTGCAATTTATTATCTAGATTTTAATACCCTATCGTTTCTTTTTTTCATGAACAGAGAACCCCAGCAGGATGTTTCAAGAAAACCCACAGCCACTCGTTCTCTGTAACCACGTCTTCCAACGCCTCTACCAAGTGTCAGATAGTCTGACTTGTTTTCGATATTGCCTGCTATATACTGCATGTCAGACCTTCAACTACAATCCAAACTCATCCACATGTGAGCTGAACAACGCTACAGCAGAAGAATATCCTCAGGACATGGCAACCCGACCAGGATACAAATATCATTATGAAGTCAAACAGGTGATTATTGAAAATCTCGCGCACTGATTGGTCGAAAAACTCACACTATCACACGATAATCACCTCCAGCGATAATCCAAAATGGCGGCCAGCCGCTTTGTTGCTGTTACCGTAAAAAAATGTCTTTTATCTTCTTTTTTTGAAAGAATCCTCTGTGTATTTATACTAAAACAATTATTTGCCTCAGCCTCAGTGAATATCGGGGAATATTTACCTCGACGCTCGAAGACTTCCCCGATATTCACTTCGCCTTCGGCGAATAATAAATGTTAAATAATATGTATGAATTATTTATAGAAAGCCTAAAAATCTTTTTATAATACGATAATATATATTTAAAAAATGTCAATATGTTCATAACGAGGCTAATAAGAAATTTTGAATAAGTGTGTCTTAAGTTTACATTTGAAAAGTTGAAAAATTGTCACACTGTCTAATGTCACCAGGTAAACTGTTCCATAAGTGGGGTTCTCTATTTGCATTAACTATGGTGGGGTGCAGCTACAGCAAAAGCACGTCTTGTTTGACCCTCGAAAATTCGATTTCCAGAGTTTTGAAAGGCATATTCTAGCAACTATTATCATCTCACAACCTAACTGGTAATTGGTAAAACAAAAGGCCTAACTTTTCATGATTACTCTTTTTACATTTTACTTTTGAGCTGAACTTGACAGTTTATTTTGAATTCTTAAATGGATCTGACCAAACTTTCATATCTGAAAGAAAAATAATAATAACGAATGTTACTTTTGGCCTAATCCAGTTGAGAAACGTAGAAACAAGTTATTGTGATGTAGGAACGAGAGATTGAGTGAGTGAGACATTTGCACATTTGATGGGGTCTGAATATGAAAATGTGTGACTAAAATGTTAGCAGATCGATAAGTGAACGTTTATTAATCGTATAGTATTAAAGTATATTTTCCACTAGGAATTGTAGCATGGTACAACCACATGCAAACATATCGTCCAGGATGTTTTTGTTTTTGAAAATCTACAATCGTAAAAGCACAATATACTTATATTGTATTGCGTAAATAAATGTCCAAAACACTGTATAAGCCTTTTCATAGTTTAAGAATCGATTCCAATGCGCATGCGATTTTATCCCGAATTTTACACCTTCTTTTGTTTAATTAAGAACAAAAGAAGGTTTAGACAAAAGAAGGTGAGAAATTCGGGATAAAATCGCATGCGCAGTGGAATCGATTCTTAAACTATGAAAAGGCTTATTGAATGCGTGTTATGGTTTATTGTCTGCACCAAAACGCTAATGAAAATTTGAAAACGTTAATGAACCCACGCAAACATATTCATGATTGTCAAATTCAATGCCAAATTTCTTAATGAAAGTTCCATCGCACTATTGAGACTCCGTTCGCCTTATTGTATGCCTGTTCGCTCTAATGACAATGCTTCTTCGCTTCAATGAATATTCCTTTGCGATTAATGAACAGCAAAAGGTGTAGTTATGATTCAGTTCACAATTTCGAAAATATGAAGGCATTTAAAAAACGTCTCCTTCAACACTTCCCGCTCGCCTACGAAGGTTCGTGCTGTAAACCAGGCATAACTAGTCAGATAAAATTGTGTCAATTATCAACTCGGCTTCAATGATTGCTACCCAGAATTCCTTTCGGTTCAGTCGCGTAGGCTTGAGTTGGTCGACGACATTTTTTGAATTAACTGTATGCAAATGTTCACTTGCTCACTCACCAAGATGTTAGCAGATCAATAATTAAACGTTTATCAATCGCCTTATGTCATCTGCTTACGAATGGTACGCAAAACGTACTTCGAAGCTCTTATCCAATACAGGCGTCTTGCACTGAGAGGTCACGTGATCAAATCCGCCATTGTGACTGGGCATTCTACAGGATTTTAGCGGAGCTCCCGCGCGGGCCACTATACTTACGAAAAAATGGTAACCCATCGAGTTGCTTTTTCATGGCTTGGCTGACGTCACTTCCGTCCGTTCGTACGTACGTACATACAGTCAATTCAAAAATGTTGTCGTCGATCAACTCAAGCCTACGCGACTGGATCGAAAGGAACTTTGGGTAGTAATCATTGAAGCCGAGTTGACTCCATAATTTTATCTGACTAGTTATGCCTGGTTTACAGCACGAACTTTCGTAGGCGATTTAATGCCTTCATATTTTCGGAATTGTGAAATGAATCATTAGYACTTTGTTTTTGTTTCCCTAAACCCAAAGACATGCATTCGTTGGATTGTTTCTCGCCAATATTATCTTATTACTAGCGGGAACAATTAATTCAGAACGAATATTTAACCGCTTCAGTGATTTTTACCCATATTCCTTTCGGTCCAGTCGCGTAGGCTTGAGCCGGTCGACGACAACGTTTTTTGAATTGACTGTATTCAGCCCCCTTAAGATAACTCGTTTCTACGCTTCGTGTATTCACGAGGTAAAAAGGTTTCACCCTCCAAAGTGAAAAGTGGAATTCAACTTACATAACGTGAAGTAACTAAAGGCTCCAAGTCCACACTTGTAGCCCGGCCAATTTATATTTCTAGCTTATTTATGAAAACTTTCCATGTCTACGTTGTTCGCGTGTTTTACCATAAAAGGGGTGAACTTCCACGCATTCAGACGCCTAAACGAAGTCAGGGAACCCCAATTTTATTTGCTTATTTTACTTCTTGTAAGATGTACTTTCATCATGCAAAATGTTTAAAAAAACTGACGATTGGAACTTTTGCCCATGAACGTCTTTAAACGTCCTTAAAATGGCTGCCGCCATTTGATGGTGGAAATCCTCTAATTATACTGAAGTATTTAGTTTCCAAAAATGTCTCTACTTACTTCCAGGTTGAATGTCTTCTTGCTTGATTGACTTCCTTGTTTCTTTTTGTATGTTCGCTAGATGTTCATAAAACGCAATTAATTAAACAATAACAATGGTTAGATGGTTAGCTAGTTTAAGAAAAAACCAACGCATCTCTAGACATTTGTTGGAAAAATCAGCATTACTTTACATCATCTCAGTACCACTGTCTACTATAAACCTACTGATTCGCATTCTTATTTACTCTATTCGTCTTCTCACCCTAAACACACTCTCGACTCTATTCCTTTTTCGTACTTTTTACGTTTACGTCGCCTTTGCAGCGATGACACTGATTTTTTCAACAAATGTCTAGAGATGCGTTCGTTTTTTCTTAAACATGGCTATCCTTTAGCTATCATAAACCGTGCTATGCATAAGGCATCTTCTACTGATCCGGGAATACTGCTCTCACTCCTAAGCCTCGTACTACCAACTTAGATCGCATTCCTTTCACTCTTACATTTCATCCTGTTAACAATTCGATTAAACCCATCATTAATCGAAATTTTAATTTACTTAATTAGGAYTCTACTACCGCTAATATCTTGGTCAAGAGTACTCTTCGCTCTGATAGTAACCCTGGCACCTTTCGCTGTTCACGTAAAGGTTACTAGACTAGTCTTGTCCTTTCATTTCTTCACATACCTCTGTTAAAGGCCCCAAATCGACTTTTAATGTAACTGATCATTTTGATTGCACTTCTTCTAAGGATTGTTTCAGAGATCCCCTTTACGACATTTGTAAACAAGATCTTTCTAAACCAGTTTCCCGCCACTTTAATTCTGCTAATCACTCAGAATCTAACATAATTGTCTTTGGTTTAAGGTTATTACACGGCGGTAATAATTCCCGCAAAACTTTAGTATTTATTCGCCCCTTCTCATCTTTTCTTTCCACCGTTACTCCGACGAAGGACTAATGTCCGAAACGTCAGTTTCACAAAGCTTTTTACGGTGATTCAATTTATCCACAAATTACTGCTGTTTAACATTCAGTACATTTGTACCGAAATCCGAGAACAATGCCCGAAATTTTTGGGATCGTAACACAATCCAATGTAATTTTTACCACATTCGTGAATTTTCTAGCTTTAGGATTGGTCGATTACGTCAGCAAATCACGCGCGCACTTAAAGCCGTTTTTATTTCGAATTTTACCCTTGTTTTCGTAGTAAAATTGTTAATTTTCTGTAGTAAAAAACCAATTTCCTTCAGTTTTCGGTGGCTACCCCTCGCGAGTCCACAACATACTTTGACGGCTAGATGACGAAAATCGTGGTAAATAAGAGGACATACCAAGGAAAACTGGAGGAAATTGGTTAAAGTATATACAAGAGAATATGAAGTACTTAATATTCTCTTGGTATGTACCAAGTCTTTATTTTTTATGCAAGTAATATACTTATTTGCAATTGTGCATTTCATAATTCGTTTCTAGATTGACTTGTCAGCAGGTTTATTTCTTATTTCCGGTCTGAATTTTACTCTCTTATTATCAGTAAAAAATACGTGAAAACAAAGCATAAACTATAAACTTTCTTCATTGTATGTACATGGTGTGAAGGCAAGAAGTATCAGTTGTACAAACAAACAAACAAATAAGCAGGCAAGCAAACAAACAAGCAAGCTAGCAAACAAACAAAGATGAATTGCCAAACTAGACATTGCAGAAAGCAAAAAAAATAATTAAAAAAATCAAATAATGGGTGACCAATAATGAAAATGCTGCAATTTGCAGATGGAGAAGGAAAAAGGAAAAAAAAAATAAAATGAATGAGTCACTGGACCAGGTTTTGTGTGTGTTATGACAGGGAGGGGGGTGTACAAAATTGCTGCAATATTCCAGTTTCAAGTTCTCTGTTGCTCAGGGTTAGCCTAGATTTTTTACAGAATGATTATGTATGCCAGTGAATGTCCATGAAATTTCGAATTAGTGTTTGTATTGTTTAAAGGGGCACTTGGATGAAAACGCCCCAATTTTTCAAAGTCCAAATAATTGAAGTATTTGAGGATAATTTGACTTAATTATGATTATGTAAACCAGGTTAGTGAAAATTTTCACCTGGGATCCACTTGCAGTTGAGAAATTTTGGGTTAAAAGAACAATAGGGTTGAGTAAATGACATCATTTACTCACAATTTATATGCTAAATAAAATTGATAATTTTTATCYGAGACATTTYACTGTGAAGAAAATATGTTGCTTGGCTACWATTGGGGCCATATAGATACWTTTAAYYAAGTTTAAAGTCATTTCCAATTTTATCCATTTTCATCCAAGTGCTCCTTTAAGTAACTTGTGCATTCTTTACTTTACTGGTTGGTATTTGTGAATATTTAGGTAAACAAAAACAGTGGCAATTGGATGCAAACAAATTTAAAATTAAGTTAAATTTTTGTTTTTGTTTTCAAAGCCTGCGCTTTTCGCTACTACTGTATAACTTCTACTCCAAAACTTTACCAATAGCTTTTCAGCCTTTTTATGGGAAATTAACAAAATAATTGCTGCATTTTCTTCATATGACAGCCATCTCTATTTCTATGGATGGTTTGACTGCAAAGTTTGGAAAACTATAGAAAAGGGTCCTCGATTTGTTTTCTTACCACAAAAAATTTTACTAAAACAGATTTTTTAGGTGTTTTTTAGTGATCAAAACAACCAATGGAAATAACCAATCAGCACAAGAGAAATCAGTAACGATTTGTGGTAAAATGACTCATAGCCCATTGGGACTTAACGGCTTGTAGACCTTATTCGTGGTGTGATAATGTGTTCCCAGTTCAGTGTGACAAACCTCCAGAGGATTCATTTTCTTTGTTCTTACTCTTCGAAAAATTCATGAGCATCCCAAAGGATAGGAAAGAAATAGCGATGATATCCTGACAAGTTTCATACAACAGCTGTTCATTCCCCTAGAGGTTTTTCACATTCAATTGGGAAAACATTGACACACCATGAATAAGGTCTATTGCTAAAAATCAATTAGTACAATACTATTGAATGAAAATAGTTATGCAAGGCTACAAGTGCAAGCATGAGACAGATGCTGATTTAGTATTTCAGTAAGAGTTTGTAGAAAGTTAAGATATTATCAAATGCAATATTTGCTATACATATTACTAAGATCTTGTCTTTCAGTTTGTTTTATGGATTTAGTGTGTGCACTCTACTGTTTTGTGTTATTTTTGTGCGATCTGTTATTATAACTCCATAACAATTTTGCCCCAGGGGCTGGTGGAATATAGGGGTATCTTCTAAGAAACCTTGCCCCATATCTGGGAAAATACAGATAGCTTTCCTCTAGGCTTAAAGCAAATTCCCCACATTTGCCCGGGGTCCCCCCCTCATGGAAGCTGATGACAAGTGCATTAATACAGTAAAAATCAGTAGGAACCTAGTGGTTTAAGAATGTGCTGGCAGAAATTTGCCATTTTAATGCCCAAAAATATAAGAACCTGTTTGGCCAAGCAAAATCTAGCAGGTTCTTTTATGTGGTTACAGTTAAATTATGATAAACATTTTATCCAAAGAGTTTGCCTTAAAGATTGCAAATTTATATTTGACACCACATATACTTTCTGTAATGGTTAAGCTTATCATAATGCAGTTGTTAATAAATACGGTATATTTCAGGATCAAAACCAAGTTTATAATTTTTCTGGTAATCAACAACGATACCTTCTTTACTTAGCCTAAAAATGACAACAACTACCCCAAAATACAAGAACCTATTTTGCCAGAAAATGAAGGTTCTTTAAATACACGCGGTTTTTTTACTGTAATTTAATAATCGCTGTGATTCAGTCCATTTGGACTAAAATTGATATACAATACAGTAAAAACCCGCACATAAGAACCACTATTTTCTCAGTTAATGCTAAAGTGGTTCTTATTTAATTGGTGTTTAGTGAGAAATTAGGGTTAGGTGGTTCTTAACTGGTTCTTATTTACAAAGTAAGAACAATTCTATTACAGTAAATAATATAATTAATAATATAAATAAAAAATAATATACAAATTTATTATTCACATGCATCTGAAATCTACATGTACATGTATTTTCATTGAGAAGTAGCTGATACAGTATACATCACTTAAAACAYTTGGAAAACAGTTAACTGGTACTGATATTAAATTTGGTCATCCAGACTCAACTTATAGTTTTTCACAAAAAAATCCAAATAAATCTTGAAACCTTTCAAATAAGAACCAGTCTAATTTTTTAAGGCTTAAGTGGTTCTTATTTAACAGGTGCTTAAAAAGCAAATTTTAGCCTAGTGGTTCTTAATCCACTGGTTCTTATGTGCGGGTTTTTACTGTAGTGCATAACTCCAAGTAAATAAAATCTGCCTATCTGTCAATAAACTGGGAAGTACTTACTGTAAATCTCTGGATGTAACTTAGGATAAACCACGATGGGAAACAAAGCAGAAAATGTTATTGCAACGATGCCACCGATGACCATTACAGACTTTAGTTTGGAGGACATTTTCATATAACTTTATTTGCGGAGTACTAAATACTTTACGCAGGGATCCCACCGTACCCAGAGCCCACGTTCCTCTTGGTCAGTAACGGTACAACAGGTCGACAGTAACCAACGCACGGAAATCCTTTTTACGGCCTCTTTATTAAAGGCAACAGTTATTCCGTGTTCGCTTTCGTCAATATATTATGTACGCCTCATCGCCGCCATCTATGGTATTTTAATACTTGAGAACATGCTATTTTTCGCGGACTCGTATTCGTCCCTGGTATTTGTCAGCATACGTCATTACCACAGGAAGACCGTGCTCCCTTGATCGCACGACCATTACGTCACTGGAGAGATAAACATCACGTGACAGACCTGTGATATAGAGGAGGAACTCAAGATGAGAATGTTATCATCGTTTGGGCTAACGATTTAAACGTTTAAAAAGTAATTCTTTTCAGGTAGAACGTATTGAGTAAGACACTAAAATATGTCCAGCAAGTGTACACTACTTAAGGTAGTTCTTTTGGGTGATGGAGGTGTAGGAAAATCTTCCTTAATGAATAGATTTGTAAGCGGGAAGTTCGACAGTCAATCATTCCATACCATCGGAGTAGAATTCTTGAACAAAGACGTTACACTAGAAGGAGAAATGTTTACTCTTCAAATTTGGGACACAGCTGGCCAGGAACGGTTTAAAAGTCTCCGAACGCCATTTTATCGAGGATCAGACTTGTGTCTTTTAGTTTACTCCGTAGATGACGTGAAAAGCTTCACTAACTTGTCGATGTGGAAGAAAGAATTTCTGTACTACGCAGATGTAAAAGACCCGGAGAATTTTCCATTTATACTTTTAGGCAACAAGGTGGATGTCGAAAGCAGAGCTGTGCAACAAGAGGATGCCGATAGTTGGTGTAGGCAGAATGGAGGGGTTCCTTATTTCGAGACGAGCGCCAAGGATTCAACGAATGTGAACGAGGCATTCCTTGCTGCAGTGAAAAGGCTGAAGCATATGGAGCAGCAAAGTAAAACCAATCGAAGCGGATTTACCGCTACAGGGGGAGTGAATTTAGCAAATGTTAAAAAGGATAAAAGTTCTGGTTGTTGCGACTGAGCTTTAGCTCGTGTTACAACATCTAAGATTTATAGGAGTACTTTTATAATACAGATGAAACCCAAATACAGATAAAGAAGTGTGCGAAGGGGATGAAGGAGTCAAAAGAGGTCTAACCTTTGTCGCAGGGATTTAAACTCACTTTCATGGATGTGCCAGAAATTTTGTACTCTTGGAAAAATGAGCTGATTATTTTGAATTGCAAGGCTGTTGATGGGTGGCAAGCATTTCCAGGAGAGTCAAAAACATGGCGGCCATTGTGGTGCCGTTAACAATGGATGCTAATGAGAAGTCTTTGGTTAAATGGCACCAACATGGCCGCCATGACATAAAGTACAATCAAAGAATTACCAATGTACCTTGTTGGTGTCAAACTGTACAGTCACAGAATGCACCAGGTAGTCATAACTAGCATGACATGMATTAATTATAATCTGCACTACTAGCAATAGCCACCTTACAATCAATACTAATGAAATGCAGTTGAACAAAATAAAAATTGGGAGGGGCTAAAAGTAATCAAACAAACAACATTCAACAGGGGAATTCTTCAGTCCTCTTTCATCCTCCCACCTGTATGATTGGTGACTTGGTTTATAGGAGAATCCTGGTCAGTCTTGGTACCACTTCAAAGACTAGGCAATAGCAATATATTTACTAAGTCAGTCAGCTAGAACAGAAGAGCCTTTTTTGATCTATTCTTGTATGCCTTAGTAACCAAAAGCTTTATTCATGAAACTGTACTGTACTGCAGTTGAACTCTACTATTCTAAACTAAGACTAAACTATGCAATTTGTTTGGATTAGTAGTTGAACCTTGAAGCTAAGGAGAGAACCAGCAAACCACTCTACTCACATACAACGAAAAGTCCTGGGATCGAACCTGAGTCGTATTGGTGAGAGATGAGCCTTCTCATTACACTGCTATTCCACCCACCATGGAATTGGTTGAGCTCACTAACATTGCAGTAAACAGATTTGTAAAATATTTTATAAAAAACAAATTTTGTTTAGTAGTCCAACATGGATTAAGGAACAATCAGATTATAGCTGTGCTGCAGTGTAACTATTTTTGTGTGAAACCCTTCTCAATCGTATACTATTTATTTTTATTCATACTGAATTTCCAAATATAAATCCTTGAAAAGTATCCATTTCTTTTTTGCAAAAACCTTATCGAGTTTGAACTAAAATACTTTAATAAGTACCTTAGTAGAATGTCTGCAAATTATAAGCCCCAGATCTCTGGCATCATATGGCTTATTGCTTCACGTATGGCTTATTGCTTTATTTACTTGCATTGAAATTTTACTGGAATAATCTTTAGGGATCTAATATCTTAATTTAAAAAACACTGATTAATTTTTTTTCTTGATATACTGATGCAGAGTATTATATTTTTACAAATCTTTAAAGGAGTTAGTGATGTTGTCTACTCCAGACCAAACATTGCTCCACTCTAACTTGTTTGAGATATAAATGAATTAAAATTGTGGAATGCTTAAAATGATTTATTTTACAAAGGTCTTTAGTTTATAGCCTAAATTATTGACCAAAAATAAAGTAAATTTCAAGCAAAATTCATTTGCCAAAATAGAAAAAAAAAAAAAAAATAGCAAAAAAAAATAAAATAAAAAAATAGCTGAAAAAAAAAAAAAGAAAAAAAAAAAAAAAGGTAAATAAGTATAAAATAGAGCCAAAATAAAGTAAAAACGCTTCTCTACTTCCCCATAACCATAACGCTTTGTGGCTTCGGGGGAGTAACCAGAGGACAATTTTGCTGGCTGATCAGACAATGTTAAAAATATCTCCTTTTATATCCCGCAAACATAAAATAAAACAGCAAGAAACAAGAAAGAGAATCTTGAAGAAGTTTAAAGTAAATTTGAAACGTTTTTTCGTATGTCAATACATTTTCTGGAACACCAAACCTCTTGATGTACTGTACNTTAATTTGGATTGTTTCCATTCACATCCTTTTGAGGGAAAACGATGACTTATGGAATCAGTCTAGTATAGTTTGGGATGATATAATTAATTTGCAATAGGACTGCATGTCTGTCCAATTTGGAAGTAATTGAATTCAAAAAATTACTCCGACTGCCAAATTGGACTCGGCCTATTGGCCTCTTACAATTTTGTCAGTCCTCTGAATTTTTTTCATCCAATTATTTCCAAATTGGAGAATGCCAGTCACTTCGTGAGACAGTCGTTTCGAGACACCAAGATACAGGTTCGAGACAGGCATATACTGGACAGCAGGTAGTCCTATTACCTATACTAATAGAGTGCAAACCATATATCTGTTAAATTATAGCACAGAAACTAAATAGCACTGAACACATCTATTTCTTTTGTTCTTACTGCGATTCCCAGTCACATACGACCAACTAGACCATCACAAACGAAAAATTGAATTTGGTTGGACGTCAATCAAAAGGGTTTCTATCGTTTCTATTGGTTTCTACACCAGGACTGATGTGAATACTCACATGAACACGTGCAAAAATCATTGTCCTTATCTCACGCTTCTTGTCGCTGTGAATTTCTCACTCTGGATATATTTTCTCAAAAATGTCACAGGATTGACGTCCACCAAAACTCAATTTTTTGTTTGTGATTTTGGTCTCACTTGGTCACGTGTGACTGGGAATCGTAGTAATATTGTTTAATTGGTTCCTTGAATATATGGAAACAAACCTTAGAGAATAGCAGCTTTTTATTGACAGACTAGAAATGTCAAAAAAAAAAAAATACACGTTCAAAGTAAAGTCTTATAAAATTCAATAACGTTTTAGAAGGTGACYGCCCTCCTTCACATTTAGATTCAGTTCTTTGTAGTTTAAATGAAATCTAGATATTGTGTGTGATAAGGTTCAAGTGGCCATAAGCTAAAAGGGTTAAGTAGGCCTGGTTTGAAGACAGAAGATTACTATGTTATAAATTAAATAAATAAGTGAGAATTAACAGTGGTTCCACTGAGGCTCTCCTTCCACTCTGGATTCCAATCTGAATTTAGAAGTTGATTTTTGATGATAAAAAAAGAAAGGCAAGAATGATACAAGGATGGTGTGAGAAGTACTGACATGCTGATTTCTGGAGTCTTTAATTTTAAAATTGGTTTAAGGTGGTTGCACTAATTTAAATGTGTATTTTGATGAAACCACGTTCTGTTGCACACCATCTTTTGTGACAAGACACAACAGAGCTGTATGCCAAAAACGTTTTCATGATTGATTGTACTTTTATCACACAGAGCAATAGGTGATTTACCCTATGAGCAGAGGTTTGTATTTAATTGGTAGTACAAAATCAAAATCAAGATTTTGCATTTATATCTTGTAGTACCAAATATTTCGTCTTAAAAAATAACTGCAATATCCCTAATGCCTTAATTACACAACAGACTTTCATGGTATTGATGTTGCAAACATTCTCTTTTATTAACAGTATGGTGTAAATTTAAAGTGAATTATGTAGGTCTACACTCTCTTAATTTGACAAACATGAGAATGCAAAAAAATTGTTGTATTCAGTAGTGCAAAATACTGAGAAATTGGTCATGACGTTGATGACAAGGGTGGGTAGAGCTATCTGATGGATAAATCCTTATCCAGTGGACAAGTTGAAGCTGTTATCCAATACATTTATCCAGGGAATAAGATTTATCCATCAGATAGTGCTATTCACCCTTTGTACAATGTGTAATTCCAAACATTTTCCATACCCCCCTCTTGGAGGAATTTTCTTAAGACACCCCCTACCCCCCGGAAATTCCAATTTTCTTCATACAAACTCTGTAATTTTTTTTTCTGACCCCCCTACTCTTCAGAAATTCCAAATTCCTCTGTGGGGTGGGTATGGATAATTTGTGGAACTACACAATTGGGCCTTGTACTTATTTATTCATAGGATAACCTAGAAGTAAAAATATTGTGGTTTGGTAAGGTTTATTCTTACATACAGTAATAATATAAACATTTATTTACATTTTAGTAATTACAGTGCGACTACATTAACCAAGGCCACTCAAACAAATTCTAAATCATTGAATACACTGAATAACAGGATGGCGACCAATCTTGTTCACTCCTGATCAAACAGGCTTTTTTTAAAGGGGAAAATGATTGTGTAAATTTATGAAGATACTTTTTTCAAAAATACTTAATCATGATTGGCTAATTTGAGCTAATTTTGTTTGGGTGGCACTATAATAAAATTATGTGTAATACACAAGTTGCTTAAAATTAATCATTTCCTTTTCCAAACATCTTTCAGAAATGTATACTTAATGTTCAATTATTACAGCACTAGTTCTATTTACTTAACAAAAATAAAATGTATTATTATGTAATAGTCCCTTTCACAGATCCCTGTACCATTTTGAAAGGTAACTGTTACAGTGCTTGTGCATTGAAACAAGAATGGCAGTGACCTTGCAATGATAGATATGTAAATAATTGTCCAATGCGATAAAAAAGGTCTTTATCATTGCAAGTTCACTGCAGCTAATTCTTGCTTCAATGCACAGACCTGGTTACCTTTCAAGTTGGTGGAGGAAACTGTGAAGGGGACTATTCTATTCATATTATTGTATTGATTATTGTATTCTACAGCTCTTTGCAAATGAATAACTTAAATTTGTAAGATTTTGTCATTATCTTAGAGGGAAGGCTACTGTAATATGGCTTAGACAGGTGCAAGAAAGGGAAAAACAAATACAATGAATAGAGGATTTGTGGCATGTAGCAGTTGGCATTTCACCAGCCATCCTACCTACAAATAAATTCTCTAATTCTCCATGGTTCCTTTCTCATACTCATAATACTTTGCAGATTTTGGGGTAACTGGGGAAAAAGTGCTGAAGGCTGATCAGAAAATGTTTAAACTACCTTGTTTGATAGTCAAGTATAAAATAAAACAGCATACATATAAGAGATAGAATCTTGAAGAAATTTTAACAATTCTTCGTAAGACATTTTCTGTAACACCAAACCTTTGATATTCTGAAGGTGCAAAATTAACTTACACTGAACTCTGATAATCACAGTATTTCACAGACAAAAGCTAGCAGATAAAAGGGTATATTCAATTGACAATGTTTCATTTTCACAGTTTTTGATTGGTTACCCCCATTATGGGCTATTGGAAAGTATAAAACGACTAGTTCCTGCATAAGTTAGCCTTAAATAATAAGCATTGTAGCTAGAAAGGGACTTATGCCAATATTATTATTGTCCATCATCTCACAAATCCATGAACGATTTTGACATGCAATAAGAATGATCATTATCGTAGACTCTTAGTGTTGATAACTGGGCTAGGTAAGAAGACAGAAGTAGTAGAGTACAAACACTAAATGTGTGCAACATAAATATCATTAAATAGTGTTATCTTATGCTAATTTTATTGTTTTCTTTTGTTTAATTAGTACTATTTACTACTAAATAGTGACAACTATTTCACACATTTAGTATTGTACTCTACTGTTTACTTAATTAGTAACTAAAGGTTCAGTAATAATTCAGTGTACAATACAATTAACATTATGATGTCTTTATGATGACAACAGACAACATTCAATGTTTATAAGTCAATATTTCTGCGTTTTCAGCTTCTATGAATCAAATATGTTGGTACCAATAAAAATATCTATCAATCAAACGTTGTTTGGTAGGTAGAAGCTAGAAAAACATGTCTAGAGTTTCAGTTAATTGGGTCAAATGATGATAAACTTATATATTGACGAATTTTAAAACTCCAGTGTATACAAGGCAGCCTCCAATCCTGGAGTAGCTTGTTTTGTTATTCTGATTTCTGCTTTTGTCTTCTGATCTCAGAAATGCAGCTAACCCCACATACACTGGAGTCTTAAAGAGTCCTCAATATTGCTGATACATGTAGCTTCTTGTGTTAGACTCAATTAGTTAGACATATTCCATATATTCTACAATCTCCCGAACTTTCTTGCTAATCAAACTAACTGTATCAGGGCATGGACACACTTTCAGCAAGAATTCACAACTGCCTTTGTCACACAGTCTTGTGTCTCTTTTGGTTTGGAGATAAAACAATGATTTGAAATGGATAACACAGACAAATGAAAGACCTTCCTTATGTATAGACCAATATTAACATTAATACAAATATCTATTAAAGTAATGTACAGCAACAGCTTCGTTCACCTGATTTCTCACGTTTCCTTGGGCCTACATAAGTAAAACGTATTTATGACAGGTTAATAATGAAGTATTGTCTGGTTTAATTAGGACAAAAACTGCTGCACTTTTGCAAAAGTTTTCCTGGCTATATGAAAAAAAAATTAAATGATGATCAACTGTTTAGATCAAAGTTTTGGATTACTAGTCAGTCAAAAGTCAAATATGTGACAGGACATAACATAGGATGGAGCAGAAATATACTGTAAGTTTGAAAAAAGGAAGGTAGATGGCTGCAAAGAAAGTGGCTGAAGGCATTATGCATAGCTAGAAGTAGCCAAACACTGAACAATTGAGACAATAATGGATGAACAAACCAGCAAAGACAATGCCAGAAAATAACATTCCATTGCTAAGTAAAATGCCTCAAAGATCAGTGCTTAGTCCCTTCCGGTGCACTCCATACATATCACCAATTGAAGACATAAATACTATGTGTGTTGTACGTTGATGACTTGCATACTGATTTAAATACAATAAAAATGACAAAATATAATAGAGTGTAAGTCTTGAAAACATGATTGTTGTAGAAGATAATGATGCTTCCAAGTTGGATTACGAAATATTGTTTTTTACCTTGTGCTGCAGGTTCTGGTAAATTTTCCCTTGCCACTAAATGCATAACTGTTCTTTTACCAAGTGGTAAATGTAATGCTGAAAGGATAAAGATATCTAAATAATTATATCTTTTTATTTAACAATACGTCCTCATTAAGGGAGTCTTTGCAAAGTCTTCCTAGCCAGAGAAATGTTTAACTATACAACACTGACTCCACACTTATTACAACCAACTACATTTAATATTCTATGCATGGGACTCTCAAATTGAATGTTGATTTTTACAGAGGAAGGAAAACCAGACAACCCGGAGAAAACCCTTGCAGAACAGGGAAGAACAACACATCAAACAAACTATAATTACATGTTGGGCACACAGCTGGGCTTAAACCACCGACCCAGAGCCTGATCTTAACATCTAACGACCTTTGAGGGCTGACTATCATAGGAAAAAGAATGGCGAAAAAAGAAAACTCTTATAAACGACTAATAAAACTCCATAATATATAAATTATGTATAAATATACACTAGACTGGTCCCCTTCCCTCCCCCCTACTCATGGAACAGATAGAATGAAAAAGTTTAAGTTTTATCACTTGTCATTATAGTGAAGCACCATAATTATTTTGCCAATTTCTGTGAGATTTGAGAAATTTTGGCAACTAAGGTAGATTTCATATAAAATTGAGCTGATCCTTGCAGTCTATGAAGTATATGTGGGCCAGATTGTAAAAAAGCCTTGCTTTATCTGTTTACCCAATAAAGATTATTATTAACTTATGCAGCTGCAAATTGAATGACACGGAAAAAGTTCTGAGTCTTGAACGGGAATTGAAGCCGTGCCCTGATAATTCCGGTGCCATGCTCTAACCACTGAGCTAGCAAGTCTCATATGAGACTTCAAGGACACATTAGGTGGGTTTATTGGCCCAATAGGAAAGATATATGTGTATAAGGTAGATTTGGAAAGCTGTGATGTTTAATAATTGGACGACTGAAAAATCATAATTTCACAAAGAGAATCTCTCTGAAAAATTCAACCTACTHGCTGTGGAATGAAGAAAACCTTGGGAATTTAAGGACATTGGCATTGTGAATTTGCAATAATTTTGCTTCACCATTGTATGAAATAGCTTCGAGAACGATTTAGGCACACAATGTAAACAATAACATAGGGGCGCAGTGCATTGTACATAGTTGACTAGGATTCTTTAATTGGTCCAAAATAAGTTAAGAATTGATTTGGTTAAGCAAAAGTGAAGTGAAGTTTAGTTGGAAACAAATGGAGTTCAACATAGTAGCTAAAGATTAGTGTGGTGTTTGGTGGGGACTTGATCTTTGTTTGATCGCAGTTGTACTTTGTAGCAATTGCTTAAAATTAATCTAAAATGCTTTTAAAATGTTTTATAAGCTACTGATTTGACAATACCCTAAGTAGTGAACAGACTTCAACACTGGGTGACTGAACCATGTATGGTTATGGTTTTCAGCAATTCTAGTCTGGAACAGGGTATATGAAATCACGCTCTCTCCTCTCTGGAACAGGGTATCTATTTTTGCAATACTCGAACAGAGTATGGTTTTCAGGGATCTTGCTCTGGAACAGGATATGAATTTCAGCGATTTTACTCTGGAACAAGGTCAGGGTTCAGAGGGCTCAACGACACATCCCTACCCTAAACAGGCAAGAGTACCCCCCTCCYGGGTATTATAGACAACCAAACCATGACTCTGGGCAAGTTTAGTTTTTTGACCAAACTCTTGGACAACTTTTCCATAATTCTCTTAGAAACTATAATAGACTTTTTACTTTTATAGAAACAGTAAAGCAACTCAGACTAACCTCCTAATGAGACATTTCCATGTAAAAATCTTCCCTGATATATTAATTTAAGAATATTATGAGAACTAACTGTTTCTTCTTTCCAGTCTGAAAAGAAAAACAAAGAAAACTTGTGAAATAGTATACTCAAATATTTAGAACAAATAGGGTTAATAGAACAATGTTTCGTAAAAGCATAGACAGCAATAAGATACATGTCAGTAAACAAATAAATAAACAAACAAACATAGCTGTTATCTACAATCATTAGAGTTCAAATATTGCAGGAGAAAGCCTGTAGCAAGTAYAAATATCCTGCAACATTCATACTCTAGGTTGTTTTGTACCGTAAAAAAACGGGTTTTTGAAAACTAGTTCAAAGAAAAAAAATTGTTTTGAAGGCTACTTCTTGAAAAAAATCTACAAACGGTAAAGTACAAATATTTTATTTTACCTCAAAATTTGCATAAAATTATGAAATCTTTTGTCAGATTATAGAAAGGTAGTCAAAGTAAGATATCATTTTCGAAACAATGCTTATAAACGGTAAACAAAGAGATGGATGTGCAGTAGCAAAGGTCTGGAACTGTACCTTAATACACCCTAAAATGTCTAATGGATTGAATAAAAGAAAGAGAGGAAGATATATTGATGTAGGGACAGACATAAACACATGTACAGACAGACAGGCAGGCAGAAAAAATAAAGAAAAAAAGAAAAAACAAATGAAAGAACAAACAAAAGAACGAAAGAAAGAACAAAAGCAAGAAAGAAATAAAGTGAGAGGCAAAGAAAGTATAACAATTATTTTAGGATTTTTTAGTAATGTAATTCAGTATTTTATCCATTAGTGGACTCTCATTAATTAACCTCAGTTAGTTAGCAAAAAAACATATCTTAATACCCTGAAGCACCAGGCCAAGCAGATCTAAGTAAATATTATTTTGCTCTGGGTTTGAAAACAACAACAAAGTCTATAGATGACAACAACAACAGCCTAACAATGACAGTATATAAATACRATTGTGTCATCACCTGCTGGCCAGTTTTCAAAAACATGTTGTGCTACAAAGTACGCAGTATCGCTTGGAGAAAACAGAAACTCATGGGTTTTGCCAGTCACAAGTATTAGTCGTAGGCATATCTGTAAACATAAAAACAAAGTTTGTGCAAGGTTTTTCAATCTATCAGTAATATCAGTATTTTTGAGGCTTTCGCATTTAGACATGATATTCAAATTATGTAAGATTATGGGTAAAACATGTAGATTTGGTAATCATTATGAAGAAGGCTATCACTAGTTATACCCCAAATGCCATGTTCTGATAAGGCTATCACTAGTTATAGCCCAAATGCCACGTTATAATAAAGGCTATCACTAGTTATAACCCAAATGCTATGTTCTGATGAAGGCTATCACTAGTTATAACCCAAATGCCATGTTCTGATGAAGGCTATCACTAGT